CGTTTCGTTTTGGCAAGTTTTAGCCTACTGAACTCGTAGGATGCCGGGCCCGACAATGGCTGCCGTTGATAAATCTGATCGCCGGCCATTGTTTCGTTTCGGCCTCCTGAAAGGTCGGAGCCCCACTATTTCCGAATCCGAACCGACAAAGGTACTACTGTCTTCCCCCAAACACAACGCACCCTTATTTTGGCTGGCCGGATATATAGCCTGTATACATTCATTTTTAGGCTGCGTTATGTTCAGGGGAAGACCGTAGTGGTTTTAAGTTTTTTTTTTCCCACTTTTTAAGCCCAGCACCTGCCCGGCAAGCCACACAGCAGATCATCCCTGTGTCTGAGCTATGTTTGCTTGGACACCCAATTAAAAGTGATGAATTGGTAGATTAGTGAAGTGATTGAAGATGGACGACTAGCAGCCTTTTCATTCCATATCAATAACATGTCCAGTAATCTCTCTCTCTCTCTTTTTTTTTTTTTTTTTTTTTTTTTTAAGTCCAGTAATCTCTCATACGCGATGCTACTCAAAAGCAGTCAAATGGGTCATGCACTACCATCGGAGCAAGGGACGCAGATGGGTTCGAACCGGGTCCAGAGTCCCTTTTTTTGTGCATATGTAGAATACCAATACGGTAATACCTCTACTGTCTAGGGCATGAAAAACCCTTAGTAGTATGTGGAAGACACCTTACGGACGATATTTTACGACTGGTTGAAGGAAAATCTGATATGATCATTGTGGCAGCAAGTGCGGTTGAGCTTTGCTATAATTAGATGCATGTGTGGAAATGTTCAGCCTCTTTTGGGTCTAATGCCACAATCAGCTTAGTGCATCGGTCCTGTTGCTCTCTGTTGTGTCATCCATCTCCAACCGCCATCTCCACCTGCATCCTCGTCTCTTCCTCCTGGGCGACAGGTTCGCCACCCCGACTGTCCCGTTACACACAGTGTCCCCCACCCCGCAGTTCCGGGCTCCCCAGTACTCCAGATATCATAGGCAATCTCTATTAACCCCCCCTGAAGCTAATGACTAACCAGTGAAACCCTTCCTGAGGACCCCGCACAGGGCAGCCATGTATGTCCGTTGTTGTTGTTGTTGTTGTTGTTGTTGTTGTTGTTGTTGTTGTTTTTTCCGCACTAGTATTTATACTTGTCGAGTTACCCCCCGAGGTACCCATACCTGTCATCAACACATAGACAGTCCCCCACCCGTCGCCGGGTCTCGATCATCAGCAGCGTTCACCCAGGCATCGGGAGGCACTACCTACAGATTAAGTGGTTGCCAGGCCACCATCCGTTCTTCTACCAGTCTACAGGCCATCCCTCGCAGTTGTTTTGGTATCTGTGTATGGGTATTTTGTTATATTGTTGGGCACTGAACAAAATTGACCCATGGATGAGTTTGTATCATAACCGCACGGTGCGGTGGTCCTGTGCGCCGTACGGGGTCCGGTTTGGGACCTCCCCATCTTCCGTACCGGCCCGTACCTGTACCATATAGGACCACACGGGGCTGCACGCTGCACCAACGACAACAAAACAGTCCCGGCCTAGGAGGCCCTAGAAAAGCCCCCCCGAAGCCCTTCCAGTGTCGACCGACAACGAGAAGGAAATTCAAATTCGTTTGAGCGCGGCCCGCTAATTTTGTTTTTGGCCCCCACCACCTTTTTTGCTGTGGGGGCGGCACAGGGATGAATGGACACGTGCATTTTTTTGTTTTGTTTGGTTTTGGGCTGGGCTATCGTGCACCACCCAGGTCGTGCACCGCGCAGTCGGGGTCCGCTTGAGCGCCAACAGTCTGCGAATCAGCGGACGACGTGCGCTTGCATGTATGGTTTGTATGGTTGTACGAACAGTTTTTTTTTTTTTTTTTTTTTTTTTTTTTTTTTTTTTTTAATAGAAACGCACACTGTTCCGCATCTAGAGTGACAGTTGAGGTAGTGACATATTTATTTTTGCGCAACTCGCAACTGACTTTCAGTACTCGGAGCGGCGAGCAACCGTATGGTTAGGTCAAAGTGTAACGGCTCGGTCCTCGGAAGGTAGCTATGTACAAATAGGTTTGGCTGAGCTGGTGGTTCGAACCACCAGTACTTGAAGACTTTCTTTTGCCGAAGCAGATCCCCTCTTGCGCACAAAAATGAAATGAAGTGACTTGAGGACTTTTTAGGCTGGTGCTGCCTGACATTTTGCTCCGGTAGGCCTACCGAACCCTGAAAGTAGGCGTGCGCATGGGTGCTTTTTGGGAAAAAAAGAAGAAAGAGAACAGTTCTGATGATAAAATCTGACATTTTTCGTACAGCCCCTATACGAGTTTCCTCACGCTCAATGTTAGAAGATGATTAAACCACCGGTATTTCCTAAAGTTGTGCCCATTAACAAGCCACGACTTTAGGAAACGTACGGGTCACTACATGAGCGCCTCATCTGACTAGAAACCTTTCTACTAAATTTTCTTTCCCCGACCGATAGCTGGCCCAAGTAAGGTTGTACGCTAAGTGATTTTTGTTAGTAGGTAGGATTTTGTTTTACTTAGGGAATAATGTTTTAGGACTTGGTAATAATAGGATTTTGGTAGAGTTTAGGGAGGTCCCTCAGAGTAGATCCTAGCATTTTGGTTAGCAGTTAGCTTAGGCTTGGACCCCACGAAAATGCAGATGGAAAAAACATCTTCCCACAAAAAGTGGACAAAGATTTCTAGAAAGCCAATTACGAGTTTTGCGGGGACCCCACAACACAGTGAGTTTTTTGGAAAAGCCATACATTTTTTTCCGGTAAAAGGAAAGATTGATAGCGATGGGGTAGAAAAGGAAAGTTGGGGAATGTCCGAGTGGTTTCTGAAGGACATTGAGCGTCGTGTGGCCAATGGGAAGTCCGGGCGGGGGACGACCTTGAAAAGTTTCAAGATGCTGCCTTCCCCTACCCTCTGCACTCGACAAAAATCGCGGTGACGATGGTTCCACTGAGAATTTTCCAGGCTGGCTACGATATGAAAACTGACAGTCCGTTCTTCCAAGCCACAAACTTCAGGTTGTGGGGTCCAAGAAAATAGTTTGTGGCAAAAAAAAAAGTTTCTTCCATAAAGTCGGTGGATGGTTATGGGGTCCCGGAAACTGTTTCGCGACAAAGTATTTTCTATCCGCATTTTTATGGGGTCCGGGCCTTAGTGCAGCCACAAAGTTGCGCGGAGTCTGTAGGAAAGACCCGCATGCTGTTTAGCTGGATGATGCTTTAGAAGTGTGAAACCGGAAATAGAGGTTTCTCGACCTCTATTAGCTTCTGATTCGACAGTGCATAAAGTGGGCAATTTTGTTGAGAAACGCGGATCCCACAACTTTCTGATGTAGGAGGGCGAGGCATTATGTTAGGGGTACGTTTTCGGGTTATGTGTACGTGGCGCGTAGTCCGTGATGGACGGCCCAACGACGCTACACAAAATGGAAAGCTCGAGGCCCCCTATCCCTACCGAAAAAGCTGCCCCAAAAATGAGTCGGCCTTTTCGATGTCCGCCCGTGGTCGCCTGGTTCGTCGGTGGAGCAGAGGACCGTGCGACGTGGGCAGGCTGCTTTCCAAGTAGTGCGACATTATGGGGCCCACCGTTGTCCCATGGTCGCTCAAGGCATTCTGTGGCAGGTCCCGTGGGGTTGTGAAAGGAGCCGTTTTTTGAAATGTCGTGCGCGCGCTTTGTCGTTTTCGAATATTTTATAACGAAGCGCGCGTGGTAGCACGTGTACAGCAGTCGTTTTCCTGGCCGTTGGCAGAGTCTATGAAATTGCTTCCATAGCTGGCGTGCGCAACCAAGGCAGCAGTTTTCCAATTATCGTCGTCATGCGCAGCAAGCAGGGAGCAGAACCGCAACCTGAGTCTGTCTGTGTCGGCCTTGTCGTCCCGCATGGAATCTGCGAGCGGAGATGTGCTGCCATCCATCTCGGCACGTGGAGCATGGTCAGGGGGGCGCAGCGCCACTCCGTGGGTCCCTTGTATGTTGCACACTTTCAAGGTGCTTCCGCAGTGGGACTGCCGAAATGTGTTCTCACCGCCAAGGTCGGACACGTACACAAGCATGCTGCAGCAGTGTGCTGAGGAGTCCTTCTCCTCCCTCATGGGCCACACAGCAGGCGGCCAACCGCAATCAGCGTTTCAGAGTGGTTTTCCCGCGTCGACAGGGTGGGGCGGTCGAGGTCCTCCTTTTTTTTTTCTTCTTCCAGGAATGGATTTAAAAAAGAAAAATTATACTCTTCTCTCAATTTCACCTCACACTACCTACCTACCACTACTCCTAACTGTAGGCATAGGGCCAACCCTGCAGCAGCCAGAACCGTGTTCATGAGAGAAGATGCCGGGGCTGCTCCCAACCACCGGTGGTAGCATCAGGGACCCCAAGCCAACAGGACCAAATCCTGTGCCTCCCCTCAGGTGGTGGTCTCCCCCTCCTACGAACATCAGTAGACTCTGCTCAATGCAGATCGGTGGATCCAGTGGTCTGTCTCTAGGTGGCGGGCGCCAAGCATACCCAGGAACGTACATGAGGCCAATGAAGATTGAACCCACGTTCTCCTGAATCCCACTTGCGAGCCTTACCAACTGAGCTAGAGAAAACCGAAAATCGCACGTCGCATATTCTTTTTTATGTCATGCTGCTACTTGAGCCCCAAGTCTCACCTGCCCGATTTCTTCATTTCTGGCCGTTAATCTCTGTGATCTGTGGTCAGAAACGAAGGATCCAGCCCCGGTAGTTTGGTTTTCGACGGGTTAGGGGACTCGTGGGATTAGCAAATCCTGAACAGGAACAGGGACGCAAACCAAGACCCAATCCGGAACTGGAACTGGAACTGGAACGGGAACTGGAACTGGAACCTTAACGGGAAATAGATTGTAACCAGCAGCTCGAACTGGGACCAGAACTGGACCCATAACTATGACTGAATTGAGGCAGGGGGCAAACTACATGTAGATGCGGGACTGGAAGATCCGGTCGGATTGCGACGCGCTCAGGAACGGATCGAGTACCGTGGTCCTGGCACTTGCCTCTGGCGGCTCCTCCTTTCTTCACCCTCTTCTGGGCCCGATTTCCTCTCTTCCCAAGTCTCCGCCTTCCAGTTGCATGAGTGGTAGGCTGTGGAGGTACACGTTCATTGCCCCCTGCTCCTCATCTCCATCGTCGTCAATCGCTCAGTATTTCCGTTGTCATCTTCAGAACGTGATCGTGAGAGAGAGAGAGAGAGAGAGAGAGAGAGAGAGAGAGAGAGAGAGACCTCCCCCTCCACCCTCCTCCACCCTCCTCCTCCTCCTCCTGAGAGAGAGAGAGAGAGAGAGAGAGAGAGAGAGAGAGAGACAGAGGGGTCCCCTTCCACCCTCCTCCTCCTCCTGGGCGTCGTCGTCGTCAATTGCTCAGAGTTTCCATTGTCATCTTCAGATAGATAGCTAGAGAGAGAGAGAGAGAGAGAGAGAGAGAGAGATGGGGGGGAATCGCGCAGCGGGGGTGGGTGGGAGTGCATCACGTGGCAATAAGAGGAAAGGAGGCGAGAGACTGAAGGAATTGAAGAAATTAGCAAGAATAAAGAAATCGATGGGGAAGAGGGGGGAAGGGGTGGATAGGAAGAGCGGAAGGGGGGTAGCAATTGAACGAGAAGGGGTGCAAAAGACGAAGGGGGGGGTTATGGTGAAGAAGATGATGACGACAACGAAGAAGAAGAAGAAGAAGGTGGACGGCGGTCACCGTGTAGGTTCGAGTTTGGCTATGGCGGCGGAGAGAAAGAAGAAGAGAAAGATGAACGAGGAAGGTAGCGTGGAGGAGGGGGAGGGGGAGGAGGAGAAGAAGGAGAAGAAGGTGAAGAAGAGGGAGGAAAGTGAAGATGATGATGATGCAGAAGAGATGGGTCACAAGCTGCCCAAGGTGAAGAGGAGGAAGCGTCTTCTGCCCGTTCCTCCTCTCGATGGGTCTTCTTCAAGAAAGGCATTATCAGATTGGCTATGGCAGTCTTATCTGATCCATTTCGGGAAAGAAATATCTTCTCTGGAAAAAGAGGAAATAGCAGGTGAGAGAGAGGGAATATACACTATTAAACTCTGGAACAAATACATTCCCCCCTTCCTCCCCCCCC